ACTATGCTGCTCCCTCACCTAGTTCAATGTCTATGCCCACTATGCTGGCTGACTAAGAAAGGAGCCGCACGGAAATGTTTAGCTAGATTGGGTGAAGTTCTGGGCGCCCTCTGCCACAGGCGTCAATGCACACAAATGTCCCCAGGACAGCACACGTTGGAGCTGGGCTCTCTGGCAAGAACCGGGACAAAGCGTACCTCTAAGCTGTAGGCCATAGCCCCAGGAAGTAAGTGCAATCAGGCGCAGCTCCTCACAGGCAGCTGCTGTTTAAGGCGGGGCTGCTGGCCGGGCCGTAAGCTGGCCGTCCACATGAAAGATCTGCGCAGGCCAGTTCCACCAAGCGCAGTTCTCTAGGCTGTGGAGGACTCCAGCAGGTCGTCCTCCGCAGCGCACGGCTGCCGAGCGGCAGGCAATAGGGGACCAAGTTTCTCCTGAGCCCCACTTCATGGTGGTCCCACACCCGAGAATGCTCCATGTGTAGCTGAGTCCAGCAGGGCCACCCAAGAGTCAGGGTGGCTGCTGCTACAGGACGAAGGAAGGGCAGATGACTCCGTCTCGAGACAAGACAGAACCGGAAGCAGGGTAAGGGCAGAGGGCCGCTCCAGCTCTGGGCCACCAGGTGCTTGCTTCCTCCTGGTTTTGTTTTGTTCATGGTTGATGCCCTCGGTAGGCAACGCCTCAGAAAATGCCCGCAGGCCCGCAGCTGGCTCCGTGGTCTGACTGCTCCTTCACTGTTGGTTGTAGAGATGGATGCCACACTCATGAATACCGTTTTGTTGGCCAACATGTGTGGTGTCCCAAGCACCCAGACACCAGCTGCTGCCGCTGCGCTAACAGAAATAGCGTCACCTTTGTCGTTACAAGGAGTGGCGTAGATTCACAGAGCGACTCCAGATATGTACATCCTCACCCATGGCTGTTCTGTGTGACTCTGAAAATGTCTTCCCAGGAGTGGCCAGCTCTAGCTCCCCCAGGCTCTGCCCTCCCAGCAGGGGTGTGGGATCTGAGGTAAAACCTGCCTTTCCTCCTCAGGGGCTCAGTCAACACCTGCACGGAGCAAGATGCTGACCGGGGTCCTGGTCCTGGTGCTTGGTCTGTTCTTCCTCGTGATGGGGCTGTTTGTCTACCTTAGGAATCTGAGAGGTAAGGAGCCCGGTGGTGGCTGAGGCTGCAGCGTCTAAGAGGGGAGCATCATAGTTCTGCTTAGGTTAATGACCGGGCAGTTGGCAGAACCTCTGTGAAGATGGCCATTCCCCCAGTGACCACGCAGCTCCAAGCAGCTGCTGAAACCAAGTCTTCGGAGGCTAGAGTGAAGCCTGAGCAGCGGTGACTTGCAGATAAGAGAGATATTAGCCAGCCCGAAGAACAGGCTGAGAAACGAATGGGTCCAGGGAGAGCCACTGGGCACTGCCGGGGTCTGGCCAGCAGTTTGCACTGAGCCTTGTTCCCACACTTACTGGAGGCCTGTGCTCTGAGGCAGAGGTGACTCAGGGCACGAGAACTTCCTCTCTGCTCACTGCCATGCCGTCAGGAGAGGCCTGGGGTGCTCAGAGAAGCACCACAGAGGTATGGAAACACACTGTCCCCGTGTTCTGCAGGACTCCTGAGCTGAGCTGAGGTGACAAGACAAAGGAAGGAGTTCTCCCCGTCTCCATATCATGAAAACCCATCCTGCTTGGCCCACATTCCTCCATTGCTGGTGCTTTCCCAGGATCTGCTTCCTCCTGGCTCTCTGCTCCCTGGTGGCTGCTCAGCCCCTGGACAGAAGGCCCCTCCTGTCCTGCTCCCTTGTATTTCCTGCCCTTTGTCTGGTGCATCTGAGTCTATTCTGTGACATAAGCCCTTATCACATTTCCCCCAAATAATCAGTTTTGGGAACAAGATATAGAAAGCAGAAAGGAATGGTTATATCCCCACAACATGGCTTTTAGTTACAAATATGTGAGGAAATTCATATGCTGAATTCAGGAATTTTGTGTGCACGTGTAAATCAAACATCACACTCTACATTGTAATTACATATGTAGTCCTTCTTGGCCTGTAGACCAGGCTGGACTTGAACTCAGAGATCTACCTGCTTCTGTCTCCAGAGTGCTGGGATTGAAGCCTGCGCCTCCATGCCCAGGTGGCTTAATCTTTTAAAATTATTATCAGTTATTTATTTACTTTACGTTCCTATCACATCTTTCCCTCCTTCCTCTATTTCCAGCCCCTCCCTCTCCCCTCCCCTCCCCCATACATCTTTTTCCTCTTCTCCTCTGATAAGGGAAGGCCTCCCATGGATATCAGCCATCCTTGGCTTACCAAGTTGCAGTAAGACTAGAAGCACTTTATTGAGGTTAGACAAGGCAGCCCTGTTAGGGAAAGGATCCAAAGGCGGGCGACAGAGTCAGAGGAGCCCCTGCTCCTGCTGTTAGGAGTTCACGTGGAGACCAAGCTGCACAACTGTTACACATGCGCAGAGGATGTCCGTTCGTCCCATGCGTGCTCCTTGGTTGCCAGTTCAGTCTCTGTGAGCCCCATGGGCCCAGGTTAGTTGGTTCTGTAGGTTTCTTGTGGTGTCCTTGACCCCTCTGGCTCCTCCAATCCTTCCTCCCCCTCCTCCACAGGATTCCCCAAGCTCTGCCTGACGTGGCTCTCTGTAGCTGTTCTGCTCTGATGGCTGTTAAGCTAGGCTCCCGTCTGCAAGTGCAGCAGAGGATATATCACCAACAGTGCCAGGGGCGGGCTCCCTCATGGCAGCGCTCTCAGGCTGGACCAGTCATTGGTTGCCTCTCCATTAATTTCTGCTCCATCTTTACCCCTGCACATCTTGTAGGCAGGACAAATTATGGGGCAGAGGTTTTGTGGCTGGGTTGGTGTCCCAATCCCGCCATTGACAGTCTTGCCTGATTCCCGGATGGATATGGCTGGTTTCAGGCTTTCTATTTCCCATTGCTAGGATCATTAGGATCTTAGCTAGGGTCATCCATGTAGATTCCTGAGAGTTTCCATTGCCAAGGTTTCTAGATCTTTCCAGACATGCCCCTGCCCCATCCAGTTGTCCTTCCCCGTACTCTCTCCCTCGATCCTCCCTCAACTTCATCCCTGTATTCCCCCACTTCCTCCCCAACCCAGTCTCCTCCCTCTACCCACCCCGATGTCTAATCTATTTCCTCCTCTCTATGAGACTGGAGTGACCCCTCCCCCATTGGGTCCTCCTTGTTACCTAGCTTCTTCGGATTTATGGTTTGTAGCATGATTATCCTGTGCTTTGCGACTAATATCCACTGATAAGTGAGTCCATACCCTGTGTGTCTTTCTTGGTCTGGGTTACATCACTCAGGATGATCTTTTCTCTGTCTATCCATTTGCCTGCAAGTTTCATGATGTCATTGTTCTTAATAGCTGAGTAATAAAAATACTCCATTGTATGAACGTACCACATTATCTCTGTCCATTTTTTCCGTTGAGGGGCACCTAGGTTGTTTCCAGTTTCTGGCTATTACGAATAAAGCTGCCATGAACACAGTTGGGCAGGGGCCCTTGTGAAAGGATGGAGCATCTTTCGGGTATATGCCCGGGAGGGGTACAGCTGGGCCTGGAGGTAGACTGAGTCCCAGTATTCTGAGGAAGCACCAGATGGCTTTCCAGAGTGGTTGTACAAGTCTCTCCCACCAGCAGTGGAGGAGGGTCCCCATGCTCCACAGCCTCTCCAGCATGTGCTGTCACCTGAGATCTTGATCTTAGCCATTCTGACAGGTGCAAGACAGAATCTCACAGTCATTTTGATTGGCATTTCCCTGATGGACATTTCTTTAAATGCTTCCTGGCCATTTGGAATTCCTCTGTTGAGAATTCTCTGTTTAGATCTATACACCATTTCTTACCTAGATTATTTGATTTGTTGATGTCTAGTTTCTTCAGTTCTTTATATATTTTGTAAATCTGCCAGATTTGGGGTTGGCGAAGATCTTTCCCATTCTGACAGCGCCCTCTGCTTTCCAGAAGCACAGTGTCAGTTCCCTGAGGTCCCGTTCCTTAATTGTTGATCTTAGAGCCTGCACTGCTGCAGGCTGCTCTGTTCAGGAAGTCGTCTCCCGTGCAGATGCATTCGAGGCCGATCTCCGCTTTCCGTTCTATCAGGGTCAGTCTATCTGGTTTTATGTTGAGGACTTTAATCCACTTGGGCTTGAGCTTTGCTCAGGGTGATAGATATGTGTCTGTTTGCATTCTTCTATGTGCAGGCATCCAGTTGACCAGCACTATTTGCTGAAGATGCTTTATTTATTCCACTTTATAATTTTGGCTTCTTTATAAAAAACCAGGGGTCCATGTGTGTGTGGGCTTATATCTGGGTCTCTGTTTTGATTCCATTGATCAACCTGTCGGTTTTTATGTCAATATTATGTGTTTTGTTTTGTTATTACTATAGCTCTGTAGTAGAGCTTGAAATCAGGGATGATGATATTTCCGGAAGCTCTTTTATTGTATCAGATTGCTTTAGCTATCCTGGGCTTTTTTGTTCTTCCACATGAAGTTGAGTATTGCTCTTTCAAGGTCTGTAAAGAATTGTGCTGGAATTTTGATGGGAGTTGTGTTGATTCTGTAGATTGTAGGTAAGATGTTAAACCTACTGATCCATGAGCACAGGAGATCTTTCCATCTTCTGATATTTTCTTCAGTTTATTTCTTCAGAAACTTGAAGCTCTTGTTATACAGGTCTTTCACTCCCTGGTTAGGGTTACACCAAGATATGTTTTTATATTATTTGTGGCTATTGTGAAGGGTATTGTGTTGGAGTATGGTCTGGTGCTTTGTATTTATTAATTTCTTAACCCCAAGACTATTACTGTTTATGAGCAAACTGTCATGTATCCCAAGTGTTGCTGTTTAACCTTGCCTAAGCCATTATTCCTGAATATCTGGTTAAGCCTGGGCAGGGAAGAGTGGGGTAGTGTGGCCAAAGTTGGAGGCCTTTGGGAGCGAAGAATCAAGGGAAGGAGACAGACAGGCAGAGAGGACGGAAGAGGAAGCTGCCATAGGTTAGGTAAAGAGAGATCCACGTGGGCCAGGAGGAAAGGCTCCAAGAATGGCGTGGATGGAGAAAGTGATCCAGATGAAGAACATTAGCAAGTGCTTGGGATTATGGACCGGAGGGAGCCAGATGGGAATGGTTAACACAGATGGCCTGGGGTGCGGCTGGATCGTGAGGTACTGTTGGTGGATTATCTGCCCAGCGCAAGGTAAATAAGGCAATTATAAAATCTAACAGGTGTCTGCGTCTTACTGATTATGATAGCAGGTTAGATAATACTGCTGTGTTAACTATAGGGCTAATGATAAAAACACAGGAGCCCAATACTGTGTGTCGTCAGCAACAGTGTTGTCTCCCATCTTCTGTCTCAGCCTGTTTGTTGTATATGAGAAGGTCATTAATTTCTCCAGTTAATTTTGTATCCGGCCACTTTACTGAAGGTGTCTATCAGCTGTAGGAGTTTTCTGGTCGGATTTTGGGGGTGACTTGTGTGTACTCTCATGTCTCCTGTGAATAACAATGCTTTGACTTCTTCCTTTCCGATTGGTAACCCCCGGATCTCCTTTAGTTGTCTTATTGCTGTAGCTAAAGCTTCAAGTACTATATTGAATAAATATGGAGAGAGTGGGCAGAGCTTTGTCTTGTTCCTGATTTTAGGGGAATCCTTTGAGTTTCCCTCCATTTCACTTGATGTTGGCTATTAGCCTGTGACAGATTGCTTTTATTAGGATTAAGTATGTCCCTTGTGTTCCTGATCTCTCCAAGACTTATATCATGAAACGGTGTTAGATTTTTATTGAAGGCTTTTTCAGCATCTGATGAAATACTTATATGTGTCTTTTTTTTTCTTTCAGTTTGTCTATATGGTGGATTACACTGACAGATTTTCGTATGCTGAATCAGCCCTGCATCTCCGGGATGAAGCCTACTTGATCATGGCAGACTGGCTTAAACTTTCAATGTAAAAACTTCAAAGACAGTTCTAAGCATTCAAAGCAACCACATAAATACATTGGAACAAGTGGGAAATAAAGGATATAACAGGAGACAGGCCATGGCAGTAACCAGACCAGCTAGGAATGGTTTTAGTCCTGGCACTCAGGGAGGCAGAGGCAGGCAGATCTCTTTGAGTTTGAGGCCAGCCTGGTCTACAGAGTAAGTCCAGGACAGCCAGGGCTACACAGAGAAACCCTATCTCGAAAAACCAACCAACCAACAAAACAAAACAAAACAAAACAAAACAAAACAAAAAAAAGTACCCAGACCTTTCCTGCCTGTCTTAGGGCTCTATTGCTCTGAAGAGATACCATGATCACAGCAAGTCTTATAAAGTTTAATTGGGACTGGCTTACCATTTCAGAGGTCTATTTAGTTTTATTAGCATCACGTCAGCAATCATGGTGGATCGCAGGCAGGCATGCATGGTGTGGGAGGAGGAGCTGAGAGTTCTGCATCCAGATCAGCAGGCAGCAGACCTGACCGCCACACTGGGCCTGGCTTGAGCGTCTGAGACCTCAAAGCCTGCCCCCAGTGACACACTTCCTCCAGCAAGCCACACCCACTCCAACGGGCCACGCCTCCTCACAGTGCCGCTCCCGGAGGCCCTGTGGGGGCATCTTCTTTCACCACACCGATTCTTATCTAAAAGGATGCACACGGCTCACCAGAGCGAAGCCGCACAGACCAGCTAGAAACGGTCTGGGTTTGCCTACCCGAGGCTCGGTTCAGACAACAAACGTCCACTCCTCTGTGGACACGAACAGACCAAGACTCCGAGTGTCGGCTTCACGAAGATTTGGTGCGTTAGTTTCAAAATTAAATCTAAGAAGCGAGCCGTCAGCTCAGAAGTCTATCTCGGGGCAGTGACTGCTGCAGGGGGATGTATTTGTCATCAGAGAGGACTCCTCTTGTCTTAGGGCAGATCCCAGGTCTCCGTGACGCACCGTAATCCTCACTAGGTATTAGTTACATAAATTAGATTTTCTGACAGGAACCCGATAAGCTGAGCGTCACCAGGTCGGCGCCGTCGCTTTCCCCAAATAATCTCCTTATCCAATCAAACCTCACAGCTTACAGGTGGAGTTTAAACGCAGCTTGATGGTTCCCTGGATGCCTAAATAGAGAGGAGGAGTAGGTGCAGACCAGCAAGTAACACACACACGAATAGAAAACTGCGGTGGTTCCGCAGTTTTAGGAGCAACTGTCTATTGGCAGAGTGGCTGAGAGAGAGAGCCTGGCTGTGCTCCGCCTCACCACCGCCCAGTCCACTCCTCCGTGGGCGTCACGGCGTTTTTCCTGATGATGTCTTATGGCTGTCCAACGAAAGTCTTTCTACCATGTTGTCAGTGCTCTCTGAATACTTGGCAATTTTTTTGCTTCAATTTATATATTTTTTCTTTCTTTCTTTTTTTAAATGAAAATAGCACATGCCTGTATATACAGACACAAAATTGTCTTCATCAGCAGCACACAATAAATATTTGGCATTTTAAATATCATTGTTCAACGTATTATCTTCTGGACTTTGTTTTCATTTGTTTCTATCAGAATTTTATTCACAGTGATTTTGTACCCTTTGCTATTAAGTATCTTATTAATACTATGCATTTGTCTGGGCTCTTTTTTTCTTCTAAGTGTCTCGCTATATCAAGAGGAATTGATGGCAATTTCATATTCTTTGATATCAGAAAACCTTTTGTTTATTGATGTTGCCATTTTCCCCACTGCTCAGTACCATCATGCTCCAGACGCAAAATGGAAAAATTTGAATATTCTGCCCCTGTGCCTGACGTGAGAAGCAGGACAGGTGTCTTTTCCCAGATCAAATAAATTGCTTTTTATTATAGATTTCCCAAGAAATCAGTGCATTCAAAAAGAAAAGCACAACTTTAAGGTCAAGTGGTAAATTCTACTACAACTCATTATGTGAGTTTATCTGGGTGATCAAATGGTTTTTGTTTGTTTTATTTTTTCCATCTTTTAATGAATGTAAATTGCATTAACTGATTCTCAAATGTTTAATCAGTATGGTCTTTCTAAAGAAATTCTTATAATGTCACTGGATTTAAAGTGCCGACGTTCCACACACCAGTTCTCTCTGCCCTTCACTGCGGGTCTGTTAGTGTTTCTGCCACGACTTTACTGCAGAAATGGCTGGAATCTGGAACTGTCAGCAAATAAACTCCATCTTCCATCCGTTGCCTTTTCAGGGTGTTTGTCACAATAACAGAAGTGACAGGGAGTGGAGCAGACCAGGAAGCAGGGCCCCTGGGGAGGGAACCCTTCCACAGCCCTACCCGGGTGACCCATTTCCACGCCAGACTCACCATTTCCAATTCACCGCCAGCCGGAGTCCGGGACCAGAAGCTGTGCCACAGCGCCCAGGGCGAAGCCTCCTGGTCTTCACCCAGTAAAGCAAAGGACACTGCGGACGGGTCACTTCTGCAGCGTGTGGGCCGGCCCCGTCTGCTCCCAGCTCTACCCACAACTGCCCACACTGTCCTTCTCACCCGCTATCCCAGGCCAGGCCCTCAGAGTTACTCTCCTGAAGAAATGAAGGAATGGATAAATGGATAAACACCATCTCAAGAGCCAAATACTGATCCTCAGTCTCTCCTTTTAAAAATTTTATTTGGGGAGTTCACCAAATATACTTATATTTACATTTTTATATATCTCCATCATCTCCACGCTTCCATTTCCCCTCCAGTTTCTCCTATGATCCCCCAACCACCGTCTCCCACTTCTAGAATTCATGACTTTACACACACACAAACACACTCGCACACATACACACACATATGTGCGCATAGATATAACCTAAGTCCCATCCTTATTTGCATGTTGAATCTCTTAAGACTTTCTTCGAGGATTTCACACATGTATAAAATGTGTGGGGGGGGACAGGTCAAATTCTCCCCGCTGCTCCCCACAAAGCTTCCCGTGGGATTTCACACGTGTATAAAATGGGGGGAAGGGGTCAAATTCTCCCCGCTGCTCCCCACAAAGCTTCCCACACGGGTCATCTCTGAGTCCGCTGCACAGTAATCTCGCTCTGTCATTTACCAGATGGACATGCTTACAAGAGAGTGTCTACAGATGCTTCAAACCCTAGAGAGCCTGGGAAAGGTACTCAGCATTCAGACACAGAGGAACACACGTGTTCCTCAGGCCCCTCCTTTCCACCAAGAACTGACTCAGACAGACACACACACACACACACACATACATACACACAAAACACTTCACAACCCATCCAAGATGTTTATTATTTGTAGAAAAAAAAAGCACAGTGTGGAGAAACAGTGAGACATACGTGAACAGAGATGGCTCTGTGCTCAGAAACCCCACGGCACAGGCAGAGCTCTGTGATACTCGTAACAGAGGAATTACATGGTGAATATAAATGACGGGAATAGAAAGTAGGGACAGGAAGGGGACACAGCTGGACATTAGACAAGGGAACCCGGCGCCATTCTTGGGGCTTAAGGCGGGAAACTGCAGGTGTGGTCTCCACTGTGATGAACAACTGAGAAAAGGGGCCTCAGGTTCTGTCACAGCAAGTGTCTTCACAGAGCTTTCACTGAAGCCGTCGCCTGTGGGGAGACACACATAGTTACTGTGGACGAGTCCGGAGAGCCCCCGGGGCCATCTTGGTCCCTCTTGACCATTTGAGTCTGGCAAAGTCCGTAAGTGCCGAAGGTGGACGTGCCGTGCCTCCTCCTAGATCTCTTTAGGAGCTGCTTTCAGACTAAAAGAGCCATAGTAGTCACCAGCTCAGGAGCTAGCCTGCTCACGACCGGGCCCAAGAGCCCAGCTGCGAAGGCTCCAGACCCTGAGCCCTGCGGCCTCGAGACGTGCAAGCTCAAGGTGCCAGGGCCCTGAGACTAACTTCCTCTGTCACAAGAACGCAGCTTTCCCAGATGAGTCAGTGGTCTTGGGAGCTGGTCCAGGAACACCCCCAGAATGAGCACAGATCCTGCAGGTTTGGGAGGCCACCTGATGGCTTGGTTTGTTCCCACAGAAAGAGCTAAGAGGCACTGCTTCCCCCAACCCTTCTCCCTGCTCCCCTCCCTCGGATGCCCACACCCCTGTCAGCCTCTGATGGCTCTAACCCACCTCTAGAGTCTCACAGGCCTCCTTGGTGGCGGCGCTCTGTGGCCTTGCGCTTCTGCCTCCCCTTGATGGTGAGGACAACGCCGGCCACGATGCCCACCAGACCCACGAACAGCCCGAGAGCGCACAACACATTCTCCTTAGTTTCTGGGAGGAGGGTTTGCTCTTCGAAGTCTGGGGGAAAACAAAGCGGAGTAGCTGTCAGTCCCTGTGGCTGTGGTGGGGACAGCACTGGGGGCCGATGTAGGAAGAGTGAGTGCTGCGGCTGGGGAAGAGCCTCAGGTGAGAGCTGGCTGCTCTGGCAGGGGGCCTGGCTTTCATCCCCAGCTGCAGCTGCAGGGCTCTGACACCCTTTTCTGACCCCTGAGGACACCAGGCATTTCCATGGTGCACACACACACACACACACACACACACACGCGAACAAAATACCCCCCCACATAACTGTTTCTTTTGCAGTGTGGAGGATCCTGGCTAATGGGGGGACGGGGGTGCATAAACTGCATAAGAAACTGAAGTCTGTTGGTTTGCGGCGCTGGGAAGGAACTTGAGGCCTCACCCGTGCGAGGCCAGTGTCCTACACTGAGCTGTGTGTCGCCCGTGTGCTGTGAATGCCAAGGTTCCAGAGCCAGGCAGAGTCCGGCCCTGCAGGAGGGTGGCTTACCCCAGTGCTTGAGCAGAGGCTCGTCCAGACCCCAGTGGTCCACCTGACAGTCAAAGAAATCCTCCGTGGAGGGCAGGAAGGGCAGATAGAAGAATTTGCGGAAGAGGTGGTCCTCCCTCGGGAGGAACACGGTCTCTGACACGCCTGTGGTGACGGGCTGTCCGTTGCGAAGCCAGGTGACGTTGACGGCCGGAGGGGAGAACTTGTCGACGAAGCAGATGAGGATGTTGGGCTCCCCCAGGTTCACCGGGTCTCTGGGCAGCACGCTCACCTCAGGGGGCACTGTGGGGAACAGGACAAAAGTTAGCTGTCCACCCTTCAGCGTGTCCCTCCCTCCCCGTGCTGGCCTGGGGCACCATTCTAGCTCCTGACTTGAAAGCTGTGCCCTGAGGAGCCAGCCAGCCGCGAGATCCGATTCCCAGATCTGACAGGTTGGAGCCAGTACTGAGGTATGAGATATTTAACCACCCACCCCAGTTCCTAACTCCCCCTGTGTAGACTCTGGGCAATGATTTCGTGAATGACAGTGGATGAATAAGCCAAGGCCAGAACAACGGAAAAAAATCCTGGGCCAGCGGCCTGAGGATTGGGTTTGCTGTGCCGAGCAAGCTTAGGTCTGGAGAGGGAAAGTCGTAACACCCTGAAACGGTTTTTTAAAGCTACGTGCACCTGTTGGTTTGGGGAGGGGGCGTGGAGGGGGAGGGGGGGAGGGCACGTGGAGGGGGAGGGAGCGTGGGGGGAGGGGGCGTGGAGGGGGAGGGGGTGTGGAGGCTCATGGAGGGGGAGGGGGCGTGGAGGGGAGGGGGCGTGGAGGGGGAGGGCTGTGGAGGAGTGTGGGGAGGGCTCGTGGAGGGGGAGGGGTACCATTGATATCGGGAGTGTTGTTGGAGCGCTTCATCATGATCTCCAGGTTAGCTTTGTCCACAGCTATGTTGGCCAGGGCACCCTGAGCCTCAAAGCTGGCGAACTGCCCAAATTCTTCAAGTCTCCAGATGGTCTGTGACTTATCAATATCCACATGGAAAATCTCGTCACCGTCAAAGTCAAACATGTACTCTCCTTTCATGTCCGGGGAAAGGTAGAACTCCGCCTGGATGATGGTGTGTTTCTCTGGAAAGAAAGGAAAAGGAATCAGGGAGGGAAACAGAGAGGAAACCACCTGTGATGGACGGCCATGGGACAAGTAGAACAGTGGAGGACAGAGTGGGGGTCAGGGGGAGACGGGGTCTGGGTGACGGGCGCCCACACGGAGCAAAGCAGCGGGGTGAGGAAAGGGGAGCTGTGTTAGAGAGGCTGCGAGACAGAGCCTTCAACACGCCTTTGCTGTGCACCCACTGTGTCAAACCCGGGCTGTCCACATGTGCACGGGGTGACATCACACACTGGAGCTCGGGCCACCTCCCAAGGCCACCAACTGCAAACAGGCCCTGGCGAAGGTCAGGGCCTCAAGAGCCCCGCCCCCGTCCACGCCCCCTGAGGGTTTAACTGGTCCTGTGCAGAGAGCACAGGGCTGCAAGCTCGTTCATGTATGCAGCAGTGTCCTGCGCAGAGGACAGACCCTCTCGGTTGCCCTCCCGTCCTCCAGCTCTTAGACTCCTTCCTCCTCTCAGCGGTGCTGGAGCCTTGGCGGAGAGGCGGGTTGGGCTTTGTGTGGGTGTTTAGTGACTTCGTGGCTTCAGAAACCTAGCAGGAACGCCCCGCACTCCCCGTCCTGTGACATTAAACCGCTTGGGTCAGCAGCTTCCCTTCCTCCTGACGCGCCATTTGAAAGGATGGAACTCTGGAACCGAGTATCATGGTGCCCCCTGATCCCTTCACTTACCAGAGGCCCCAGGGGGGTCCCCTCCTTCTTAGTGCATGAGTTCCCAGTCACAGCTCTGCTGTGAGCCCCATTCTACCAGGAGAGGTGAGGCCAGAACTTTCTCAGTACCTCATCGGCCTCTAACAAACGCTGCTGGCATTTTGTGCTCAGAGACCGCTTTCACCAGGAGGAATGAGACCCTGAGAGACTCAAGCGGAGCCTGAGGCACTCAGGAGACCGAGCCCTTGCTATGCTCTGGACCACTACCACCCACTCCGAGGCTACCTCTGAGAAGGGGCATCCCTGGGTTGACCTCAGAACTTGACCTCTGTCTAACCCCTACCTACACTGTGATGGATTTTGTGGGACATAGTCTATTGGGATGGACAAGGAGAATAACCAACAGCGAGGGAGAAGAGGTGGTGGGATGATTGCTTCTCTGGTGTCTTTAGGGAAAAGGGGACGGATTTTAATGCCTGACTAAAGGACTTGCTTACAGTTGCCTCTGTGCACAGACATGTATTCTAGATGCCTCTTCCCTCCAGCCCCATGGCGCCGGATCTGCCTTCCATGGCCTCCTTGGGCAGGAGAAGGCCATGCTTGCCGCCGTGTGGCTGGGGCTGGGTTCCCACTTTACCCGTTTGCTCTGTGCCCGCAGCCGCCCACGAGGTCGCTCTGGTTGCAGAGCCCTTTCTCCCGGCAGCTGTTTACATCAGCACAAAATGCGAGCTGAGGACAGCCTCCACTTTCTCGTGTCTCTACCCTCGGGTGAACAGAACTCAGTGATGATCCCGTACCCTTGTCACCTGGGCTGTGCCACACAAAGGGCGGGCATGGCTACCACCGCCGAGAGTTGGCAACTAAAATCAGTTCATCTCAGTGTGCCGCCCTCCCTCCTCTGGGGGGGGGGGGGCCTCGGGCCGGGGGTGATGACCTTTCTTTGTAATGATCCTCAGGACAGTGTCTGTGGTTGAAACACGAGAGGATGGACGTGGCAAAATGAGCTGCGGTAGAGTCAGGCAGCAGCTAAGGGCTCCTCAGGTATTTTCTCACTTAATCATTAAACACAAAATTGTGTGAGATTTCTAACTATTAATGTTCCCAACGTTCCAGGAAAAAATTAAAACCCAGATCTGTGACTTGGTGGTGCCAGTTGAAAGCTGCTTTCCCGTCACCGCAGAAGTCTGGCCTCCGGTGGGACAGTGGCCCTCCACGGCACACACCTCGGTTTGTCTTTCTCAACTAAGCCTGACTCATTTCACTTTGGAAGGGAGGGTTTCCCCCAACTGTAACTGCTCTACAGCCTTCAGGTGTAGACCTACATGACGCCTGCCGTCCTTACTTTTCAGTTCAAAGTCTGACTTCCGCACACCCACCGCTCCTTTTTCCTAAGCCTCATGTCCTCTGAAGTCCCCGGTTCTGTTTCTCTTTGTGCTTACCTTTGATCGCCCATGACTTCTGGGAGCTCATCAGGACAGCCATGAAGAGACATCTTAGCACCAGGACCCCAGATGTGGCCATTTTCTTCCTGGGTGTTCGGTGGGGTCAGAAGAGAGCACAGACTGAGGCAGAATTTACAAGAACTAAAAGAGATTAAAATCCAACAGGCTTGAGTTTTAGCCAATCAGAAAAAAGTTTCAGGCTGACACATCTGTTGCTAGGGGAAGGATTTTTGCAATTAGGTCCTGTGCTATCTACTATTTAAAACCAGTTTGTCTACTTAACATTTCAAGAAATGATTTTCTCCAAGAAAACATTTCTCTATTTATTAAAAAAAAAAGCCTTTAGACAAACTGAACAAAAAAACATCAAGAGTTTAGGAATGTTGGTCAAATACACACCCTTACATCCCAATCTAAGTTCTATCTGAAACACACTAGTGAGGATAGTGAGGGTAGATAAATAACCACTAATGTGGAAATGTGGCTTCTACCTCAGCGTGACAGCTGGGAAGACGGCTTTCCAGAGACACGAAACGGAACAACGGGAAGATGGTGAGTGCCTGGATTCTGGTCACAGAATGTCACCCGGGGACCCCCCATTGCTGGCCTCATCTCCTTTCCCAGTGGGCTGGACTGCGACATGGTCACCTCAGCCCAGACTCCAGGACCATCGGGATCTGCTGCATTCTGAGGATCCTGGGACACAAACTGAGTCCCACGGCTCCAAAGACCGCAGAGAGGTGGGCGCTAGGTCTGGAAAGCGCACAGCGGTCTCCAGACTAGACGGGTCCGCCCTCCTATTCTAGCCTGGCCTAGAGGGGCTCTCTAGCCAGGCTGTGCCTGGAGGGTGAGGCCTCGTTTGAGTGTGGTGGTCACTGTTGGAGAACAGCCTCTCCCACTGAAAACAGTGCGGTGATGCCCGCAGGAGGGCCTTCCGGCCCACGGCCAGGCTCAGCAGGTGTGGAAGGCCCCTCCTCACATATAAGAATTAAAGTTTCGAGATTCCCCTTGGAGACTCCTGAAAGTTAGGAGATTTCACAAATCCTCCTTCTGAAATCACAGTATAATACACAGAAAAATACTTAGTTACACACAGACAGGGCTAGAACCCAGTGAGAAGCCACCAGGCAGCGAAGCCGCTGATTAATGGGTTGTTTAATGTCAGGCACATAGAGACTGCTCAGCGTCGTCCACACGGCTGTGTGAAGTCCTCTCTAGCCATACAAAGACCCTGCTGATGGACCCAGGGGCTCGGAACCCCAGGGTCACTAACGTAATTCATTCCACGAGGGCCACGAGGTTGATGCTATAATTTTAGGGTGAAGACTGACCTCCTTTATAAGAGCCAAATGCAGATAACTCCACTTCTGCAGCTGTCTTTTGCTAGCTTCTCTGATGCCATGTTCTTGGCAAGCACACGGTAAGTTTAAAGTACCTCCAAATACACGGTGCTACTCAGCAACTGGTGACGCTGCCTAGTTCCTGCCTGCTGATTGGTTCTGCCTACGAGATTATTAACCGACTTCAGAGACCGACTTTCAGTTCCCCTTCTCTGTGGTGAGGGGAAGTCTCTCTTTGGATACCATTCATGGTTTCCTGTTCTCCCAAAGTCTAGCTTCCTTCGTGTCTGAGGGGATTTCTGAAGTCACCTGAGTGATGTTTCCTTGGTGACATTAAACTGTGCCGAGCTACCATCGCCCTTCCCTCAGGAAACAGAATCAACTATACCAGAAGGCTGGCAGAGCATTGATCCGGCTGGACTTTTAGCTTAAAGTCGTCAGAGGCCTCGGGAAGTCCCTCTGATGTCACAGTTCCGATAGAGCCCAAAGGACGCAAAGGAACAGCTGCAGAGGATGCAGCCATGTCTGCTGCCCGCGGCCAAGCCTGTGACCGCTTGCCCACCGCATGCCACAGGTCCATCGGACTCTCAGAACACAAAGCGTGAGCCCACACTAACAAACTGTGTGTTCAGACACCGGAGAGGGAGGGAGCTGGGCTCAGACGAGGCCGAATGGGAATCACAGAAAGGTTACTGAATGTGTGTGAACTTAATTACCGCCCACCTAAGTGCCTGTCTGTCTGTCTGTCGTCCGCCTCCACTCTGCACGCTAGCCTCCCACAGTTCCAGGCTTAGGAGTGCTCCCCGGTGCACGCAGGCCAGTTCTGGGGCTTCTGCACAATCTGGGTCTGTTGGGTCCGAGTTCTACAGAGCCTCCTTAGCATCTCCCTGCTCTGTACCCTGAGCTGCTCAGTCTCATAGCCCAACCTGCTCTTTCTGCTGTGGATATCGGGGTCTTTCATGTTTCTGTGTAAATTTCAGGATGGATTTTTCAAGCTCCATGAAGAATGCCATTGTTATTTTGAGGGAGACGACAGTGGGCCATTAAATTCCCTTTTGACAATGTTAATTCTTCCAAACAATGAACACGGGAAGTGTTTTCATTTCTTTATCTTCTCCGGATTCTTTTTATTTTTATGTAAATTTAAATTTAGGGCCTCATCTCCTGCCAGGGAAGTGCTGCTCCGCTGAGCTGGAGCTCCGGCATGAGACTGTGGTAGAACACTGAGACAGGCCCCCCCCCCCGGGCTGGCCTAGACCTGCTCTGCAGCCCTGGCCAGCTTTGAACTCCTGAGCCAAGGTTACAGGGCACCGGCAAGCCTAGCTTCTTCACTTTTTTTTTTTTTTTTCATCAGTATTTCTTTCAAGTTTGCAGAGAGCTGTGGTTATTGAGGGCTGAATCCCTTTCACAGTTTCCTTCTTAGAAAGTCTGTTGCTGACGTGGGGCCTGGCTCTCGGTTTTGTCTGTTGATCTCCTCCTACGACTTCCCTGAACTTATCGGTTATGGCGGTCTTTAGGCGGGGTCAACAGGCTCTCCTCCTGGCAGAATGAAATTAGACCAGACACGGTGTGTTAAATCCACACGTCTTCACCACACTAAACAGCTGCCACTTATTTCCCATCCATTGATATGAATTTATAAAGAGGTTATTGTCTCTAAGATATAATCTTCCTTTCTCCCTGATAACTACTAAGGGTTTTGTTGTGGTTGTTCTCTTTGTATTTACAAGTAACTGTTATCCTAACATGAAAACAGTGTCCCAGCACTTCAACCTCCTCCCCTCCAGCCCTGAGTGTCCCCCTTCCAGCCCACGCACTGACGATGCTCATGACTCCTTCGCTTGCCCACCCAAGCGCTGGGATTCCTCTGGGGTCCTTGGGAGACTTGACACAGGTGGCCACAGCAGCAGATAAGTTTTGCTGCGGCCCCATCCCCCAGGCTCTGGATTGTGTTCGCTAAGAAAGACAGAAACACAGTTCGATAGAAATGCTGGATTGAGAGTTAATATTTGCGAGGCTTTGGGGCTCCGTCCTCAGACCTTACCCAGATCACCTCAGCCACCTGGGAACACTAGCATCTCGTCGTGACAAATCCGCCACCTACTGGTCGCCCGTGGAACTGTCATGATTTGGTCGCCTTTCACAGAGATGGAGCCTTGGGGCGGTGGATCAAGACAGGCCCCAAGGGAAGGGACCCAAGAATGGCTGGGTTTGGGGGCTGTTATCTCACAGGCTGGCGTGTCCCAGGGCTACAAGTGGCTGGGCGGGTGTGAGCCCGTCTTTGTAGGAACAGAAGTTAAGGATTGGTCTGGAGTCTGCTTCTCTGTGGTCCTGGGGAGTTTAAAGGATTGGGGCACACCCTGTGTCCCCCTCCCCCATTTCCCACATGAGGCACCTTGCTCATGTCTGCAGCAAAACCAACTGTATCATTTGCAGAAAACAACAACTGGAGAGTGATTCATACCTATAATTCTCATAAAGCAAATCTGAAAGTAAATTAAAGTTTTAGGCGAAACATTAAGGGTTCAGAGGAACTGGTTCTTCAGAACCTGTTAGATTTTAGAAGTGGGATGGACACGCGGTGCAGAGCTCTGTAGCTGGTGGAGGCCAGAGCTAACAAGTGCCCAGTGTGCGGTTAGACATCTGTAACTGTGGCCTACTGTGGCCTCCCGCCGCCTCCCTCCGCTGCCCTCTCCGTCTGTCCTTCTGTCTTTCTTTCCTCTCTCTCCCCACCTTTTGCTACCCCTCCCTTCCCATCACTTCCTCTTGCCCTCTCCCCCTGCCTTGCCTTCTTCAGACTTTTAGCTCTCTTTAGATCTAAGGGACTTCAAGTAGCAAATCTCTGCTGAAGGTTTTTCTGAGAAAGCCAGATTGACTGTGAGTTCCGGGCCTATGGCATCTCTGCTCCTGTGACGTCACAGCGTCTCTGCTCCTATGACGTCATTATGTCTCTGCTCCTGTGACATCACTGTGTCTCTGCTCCTGTGACATCATGGCTGCTCTGCTCCTGTGACGTCACTATGTCTCTGCTCCTGTGACATCACGGCTGCTCTGCTTTTGTGAATGCCACACCCTGCCTTCTTCACTCTTACACAGCTCAGGACCCAGACCATGAAATGGTGCCTCTGGCATCAGGGCTGAGTCTTCCACCTCTGCTAACCCGACTGCCCTTTCCTCCATGGACCAACCCCATCTATGCACTCCTTCCTGGAGCGTCCCTCCTCAGGAGATTCTACACTGGGTCAAGGTGACCTTTAAAACCAACCATTACAAAGCCAGGTAGTGGTGGCACACGCCTTTAATCCCAGAGCTCCGGAACCAGTGGCAGGTGGATCTCTGAGTCTGAGGCCGGCCTGGTCTACAGAATGAGTTCCAGGACACTCAGAACTACACAGAGAAACCCTGTTTCCAGAAAAAAAAAAAAGACACAAAAACAAAACAAAGCAAACTAACAAAGAAAAAGTAACCATTGCTGACAGGGAACAACCCCTCTATTCAGAGGGGGAGAATTGTATCCTTCTCAGTATCCACTCATTAGCTCCACCCCTTCACCTCCCATCCTGCACTGTAGGGCTTTGTCTAGACCGCTACCTGTGCACCAAGACCAGTCGCTGTGCGTTAGAGGCCACAGGATTGGCTGAGCATCCCGAGAGGGAAGGAGCCGGAAAAGCCCACCTCAAACCAGCCTTGGTGCTCTGCCTGCTTGCACTGCTACAATGAAGAGAATTCTTCTGAGTTGAACACTGCCTGCTCAGCTCCCGAAAGTGGATCTAGACACCCCTCGCTAGCATGCAAGAGAGTTCAGGGGAGCCCCAAGGAAGGGCTGTGGAAAGAGGAGCCCCTGACAGGGTGCCGAAGGCCTTCTTCTGTCACCAGCCATGCTTGTACCGACACACTATGTCAGGAACCTTATCAAGCTGTCGAAGCCTTTGCTTTCCAGCAAAAGAGACAACCAAGAAAAAGTAATCACATGGTTCACAGGGCACCTCAGCCTGGTGCTGTGGTCTGGGGGAGGGAACGTCCTCTCCCCAGACTTGGTTTTCTCCTATAGACAGTCACGCCCCAACTCTGCAGGCCCGTGGACTCCTGTTCTGAGGGGAGCTTGGGCCCAGGTGGGGAATCCCGGAGGGCTGCTATGTCACTCCCAGACAGCGGCTGACTTGCCTGCTGGACAGGGTGCGGAGCAGGGCCCAGCCTGAGTCCCGAGTTCTGAAGAGGGACCTGTCAATGCTACACCTGCGCCTGGAGGTCTAGAGAAATCAGAGCGGAGCCCAGCCAAAGTCCACCCGCCGTCAGAGTTTCACTTTTGAGCACATCGCCATGAGCCGGAGGGGAATGTGCTGTTGTGACTGGAGTCTCACTTGTGAGTGACCCTCGGTGACTCAGCTCCCTCCAGGTTCACAACATTCAAACCTTCCTTCACCCAACCCGGGACTCTTCCACTTTCCCTGGCGGCTTCGTAGCTGAGTCTCCAGCCTGCGGCCCTGGGTTCACCCATCTTTAGACAGTTGCTGTGTGCATGAAGAACACACCTGTGGTTGGGAGAGACAGCCTCCGTTTCACCCCAAAAGAGAGAGACAGGTGAGTGGCTTGGGGAGTCTCTAGTGGAGGACAGACATGGGAGGAGGGAGTCAGCTAAGATGAGGAAGTAGGGCCTGCACACCACCATGACCAGTCAGGAAATGGCTCTCACTTCCTGTTGGTCCCCACTGCATGTTCTTCAGAGAGAGGGCTTTTGGGACAGGACAGGCTCTCACTCTAGACCCAGCGCTGACCTCCAACGCATGACCATTCTCCTGCCTCACCCAGCCTTCTGGATGCTGAGGTTACAGTGAGCTGCCACACCACGCTGAGTTTCTGTCTTTTTAATGTCATTCTTTCTTTATCTCGGGACTGCTTTACTTTCCAATCAGAAGACTTCCTTCAGCTCAGGTTGGCCTCAAACTGGACATCCTCGTGCCTGGTCCTCTTCAGTATTTGCCTCCCAGTACATGGAATTTTAGTCTCATTATTCACAAGAGGAAGAGGGAAGAGTTCAAGGTCATCCTTGGCCATCTTCCATCAATCATTAATTTAAAAAATCCCTCACAGACTTTCCCCTGGGCCAGCTCCTCTTTAAGGATTCCTCTTCTCAGACGACGCTAGCTTGTGTCCAGTAAACAAACAAACAAACAACAACACCGGTGCAGAAACCGCAGGGCATGCTGGGAATGCCACAGCTGCTTTTCTCCTGTGTCTGCTCCAGGGACGATGGTGGATTGCCCAGGGTACAGTCTGTCTGGTGTGGCTGCCTCCTTCCTCTTCATCTTGCTGACGATGAAGCACCCAGGTAGGGTCCCTTCTTCCCTGGCTGCCTCGCCCTGCGGATCTGAACTGCACAGTCTCAAAGCCAACCAGACAGTGCGGTAGCTCAGGGTACAGAGGTCCAGGGCTCGAACTGACCTTTCCACCCTCCACAACCCCTCAAACCTTCAACCTCAGGCCCCCACACCCCAGCTTTGGGAAGCTTCGAGGCTTAGTTGCTCATCTCTTGGGCATGAGTAACAACTTCAGACAGCAATGAAAGTTGCCTGGAAAGCGCGCTCGACTCTGTAGCCAGAGCACGGGCAGTTTTCTTCCAATGCTCTTAACACGTAAATCCCACCAGCGGCAGACACACAACCTCGACCTCTAAGTTCTGGGGAGAATTTTTAAGCCGTATCTATTTTTTTTCACCTTAAGTCTCAGTTAGATAAGTTCATTCTTAAGACTGCTTTGATTTTACCGCTTTTAATGTTACATGTGTGTGCACGGCTTACGGTGTACGATGGAGCAAGCATGTTCACGGTGTGTGTGCGAGGGTGCCCGCCGCGGCTGGTGTATAGGGGTCAGAGGCAACTTGCCGTAGCCGGTTCTCTTCCACCATGCGGATCCTGGGACTTGAACTCAGTTCTTCAGCTGTGGCTGTGAGTGTCTTTCCCTGCTAAGCTTCCACTCCATCCTCCTCCCTACACAGGGTGTCAGGCCTACCCAGGCAGGCCTCTAACTCTGTCGATCCTTTCCTGCCTCCACCTCCCCAGTGGGGTGCAGACGAAGATTGATGTACACGACATGAAATTCTTAAGGCACCGCACTCGCAGAATTATCAATCATACCTTTGATTTTCAGATATCAAGGGAGATGACTTAACATTTGACCAGGGACTCAAACTTTCTAGGCAAGCCAAGCCTCTAACCCACAGTGAGACGCTTCTGTGAAAGCCACGTTTGCCAGTTCCTGGAAGGACCTTTGCCTTCTCTAAAGGGAAGTAATGATCTAGTCAGTTCCCTCCCTGGGAGGAGTGACCCCGCAAGGCCAGAGGACCCAGTGGCATGGCTGTTTACCTGAGCTCAAAACGACTGCAAAACAAGTCGCCATGGGAACATCAACTCATATTAACTTATTTGGGAATGAAACCCAGACCTGTGACCACTTTTAGTATCTTAAACGTGTGTGGTTTAAGACTGCAAAGCTCAGGCCTGGGGACATGGCTCAGTTACGAGTACTGAATGCTCTTCCGGAGGCCGGAGCTCGGTTCCCGGCACCCACCCCAGATGGCTCACCACCACTTGTACCCAGCTCCAAGGGACCGACACTCTCCTCTGGCCCCACACATGTGCATACTCACACAAACATGCAGAATTAAAAATAAAGTACGAAGAAGAAGAGCCTAGATCCCAAAGGCTCATTGACTGTGGAATTGCCTCCCGACCACAAAGCTGGTGACACACATTCACACTCAAAGTTTTTAACCTCGGGACACCTACAGTTTCCTTTAACCAGAAAATGTTCAAATTTCCGTGCTTGAACTCCCTGAAACATTGACATTAAATCCCTCCTGTTTCCTGGCGACGAGTTCCCGCGCCTTGGCTGCTAGGGAGCACCCTGGTCCCCTGGCTGGCTGCTTTTGGCTGGCATCTTTGTTTTCCTTCCACTGTTTTGCAGATGACTTCAGAGTCCTCGGTCCCGGGGACCCTATCCTGGCCAAAATCGGGGAAGACGCGCTGCTGACTTGTCAGCTCCTCCCCAGGAGGACCGCGGAGCACATGGAGGTGAGGTGGTACCGCTCCGACGCCGACAGGCCTGTGACCGTGTACCGGGACGGAGCTGCAGTGACTGGCCTACGGGCGGAGGGGTTCGGAGGCCGGGCAGAGTGGACAGACAGCGCCGAGGAGGGGAGTGTGGCTCTGAAGATCCGCCAGGTCCAGCCAGGGGATGATGGGCAGTACTGGTGCCGCTTCCAGGAGGGGGAGTACTGGAGAGAGGCCAGCGTGCGCCTCCACGTGGCAGGCAAGTGTCAGCACAGGAGCCCAGGGCGCGAGGGGGGCCGGAGGGGGCAGGAGGGGATGTGGAGGTGGCGGTAGGGGGCAGGAGGAGGGCGGTAGGGCGCCGGAGGGGG